AATTAGCCACGCAGTAGTTGTTTTTTTTTTAAGATCAGCCACGCAGTAATTTTTTTTTAATCAACCACGCAGTAGTTTTTTAAAAGCAGCCACGCGGTAGTTTTTTAGAAATTAGCCACGCAGTAGCTTTTTTTTTAAAAACCAGCCACGCAGTAGTTTTTTTTTAATCAACAACGCAGTAGATTTTTTTAAGATCAGCCACGCAGTAGTTTTTTAAAAATCAGCCACGCAGTAGTTTCTTTTTTAATCAACCACGCAGTAGATTTTTTTAAGATCAGCCACGCAGTAGATTTTGAACGAGCAGTCATGTTGTATTGTAAGACTTTGAGAACGCTGCGCACACAAAATACACGTTGTAGGCCACCTTTTCCCCCTAGAGAGAGCACTGCCCGCCAGCCTCAGTGTCTCATGAGCAGTGTTTCTTCCAGACTTTCTTCTCCGGGGGGGCACTTGAAATTTTCGGTCGGGCGGTATACTTTCTTCGGGGTGGGCGGACACTGTTAAAAGTATATATTTTCTATATAAATTATATGAATTTCATTTTGTTCGGGGGGGGGGGGGGCGGTAAAAAATTTTCGGAAGGGGGGGGGGGGGACTTAGCCCCCCCGAAGAGATGCCTGGAAGAAACTCTGCTCATGAGGGAGGTGGCAAGGCTCAGGGAGGCATGGGCGGAGTTAGTTTCAGCTATGTAAGGGCAGAGTTTCTTTCAGGCATTTCCTGTGTGAAGTGGGTGGAGAATTCAAAGAACCCACACTTAGCCCCAACCCCTTAGACAAAATAGAATTTTTTAAAATAGAGAATATTCTGAATATATACTTGTTTATGACAATAGTCCTCCCTCCCCTCTCCGGATCTTTATATGCCATCCCCCCCACCCCCCTCGAGCAAAAGGTCTGAAACAACCACTGTTACTTTGAACGTTTCAATTCGAACAAACAGGTAAAAACAATATAATCGATGAGATCATTCACTCACTAACTGGATGGTTGAATCCCCCCTCCCCCCTATTTCATTCCTCCAGAAGTTTAATATAAAAAAAAATAAAAAAAAAACAACACAGCATTATCCTGAAATGAATGTCATAGCAAATTTAACTAGCTTTTAATCATTTCAAATTTGAGTTTGTGTTAAATGTCATGCTGGAGTTAGGTAATTATATATTTATGAAATGAACATTAAAGGATGTCATTAGAACAGCAGTTTGCTAGGGTTATCAAAAGGTTGGGTATTTATCTATATGAAATTAACATTAAAAAATAGCTTTAGCACCGTGGTTAGGTAATAGAATTAGAGCTTTAAACAACAATTATTCACTTTTTTACACTTATTTATTATTTTCTAAATTTCACAAAAATCTCTGTTTTCTATATATGAATATAAAATATATTATTAAAATATTTTTGACACAGTTAACTATAAATAAATACTTGAATGAAGTTCTGTTGTTTGTAATTTATGATTAATTGTATTTTAACCCTTAGGTGAGTTTTTATTCAAGGAAATGTACTCCACATTAAAAGACAAAGCTATTGGAGCAATCATGCTGGTTATCTCCCTTACCATTCTCTGCCTGTGTCTGGTCGCCATTGTCAAACTGCTCCACTCCCTTCTCCAAGGCCCCATCGCTCTCATCATCAAAAAATTCATCAACGCGGACTTTCCCGGACCGCTGGGCTACCTCACCGGATACCTCGCCATCATCATCGGCGCCGGGTTGACCATCATCGTCCAGAGCTCCTCCATCTTCACCTCCACCCTCACCCCGCTCGTCGGCATCGGGGTCATCGAACTCGACCGGATGTACCCTTTGACCCTGGGGTCAAACATCGGCACCACGACCACGGCGATTCTCTCCGCCTTAGCCAACACGGACGGCCTCAGAAACGCGTTACAAGCAGCCTTCTGCCACCTCTTCTTCAACATCACCGGCATCCTCCTGTTCTACCCCATCCCCTACCTCCGCTTCCCCATCCCGCTTGCCAAATTTCTAGGCAACTGCACGGCCGAGTATCGCTGGTTCGCCATCGTCTACATCCTCCTCATGTTCTTCCTCTTCCCCGCCCTAGTCTTCGCTCTCTCCATCCCGGGCTGGTACGTCCTCCTCGGCGTCCTCGGGCCCGTCTGCCTTCTCTTCATCATCATCGGCGTCATCAAATGCCTGCAGGCTAAACGTCCCCAGAGCCTGCCCAGAAAGCTCCAAGACTGGATGTTCCTACCCCAGTCGCTACGGTCTTTAGAACCCTATGATCGCGCCATGCAGAAAGTCTTCTTCTGCAAGCGGTACCAGACAGACTCTACCGAGAAGACAGACACTGGTGCCACGTCAGACAGACAAGCTAACGGAGAGTCCAGCACGCGACTTTAGTATGACCACGTGACATTGCTTACAAAGTTCGATTATTGAAAACCTTTTTATTCTATGTTTTTTATGTTTGTAGCTTGTATATGATTATATAAATTACATCCGTTTTAGTTCAATATGTATATATAGCATGTATATAGCTTACAGAATTTTGAATGTGATATATTATTTAAAAGATTTTCTCTGGTAATGTTTTAAATATAAATAAAACAACTTTTTTAAGGAATTTTGAGCAGCTCTGTGATCTTGTCATACGAGTTTTGTGAAATTTTATACACTTTTAATAACACGAAATAGTTTATTTAATTCTAAGGTTGCTATCATAGTGTTGTCATTTAAAACTTCTAAAATAACTTTCCTGGACCAAACTTAAGGCAGTTGGTACGATAACTGCACGTTGTACTAGGTATATGAACACTGTGCCTTTGTACCACTTTGTATTGAGTTGTCTTTTGATGTGTTCGTGATTTCAAAGAGAGGCGATGTTACGTGAATAGATGCCAACTTAAGCCACCTGGGCCACTTTTATGGAAAGGCCAACATTGGCCATTTGTATGGAAGGGCACCTCGGCCACTTTTATGGTAAGGTCAACCTTGGCCAATTGTATGAAAAGGCCACTTTAATATTTGCCCCTAATGCATAGCCCATCTATGACAAATCAAGCATAGGCATTCGTTGCCACAAAATAAACCAACAGATCTAGAAACAGAAAAAAAAAAGATTTCGGTTGAGTAAGATACCAACTAGACAGGGGCGGAACTACAGTTTTTTTTTTTTTTTTTTTTTTTTTTTTTTTTATAAAGGTTACATGTTAAAAAATTACAATGTGATACATAGTATAACATTAAAAAGATTTACAATGTCTTAATATTCCTTCTGATTTCTTTGTTCCATGTTTCTTTGATTTCTTTGTTCCGATTTCTTGGTTCCATTTGTTTCTTTCTTGATTTTGTTTCTGGTTTGCTATGACATAAAGTACAGGACAGTACAAACATGATCGCTTCTCTGTTTTTTGGCCTTTCTTCTTGTGCTTGATACGCTCTTGGTTTGATAATGGTTTATTCTTTGTTGGTAGTTGTACTTGGTGAGAGTGAGTTTGGTGTCTTGACGTTGATGGTGGAGTTGGTCGAATGGTGTAGAACTTGGAGAGGGTGGTTGAGGTAGTGTTCTTGCGTTGAGATGAGGTATGATGCGCTTGGTAGTAGAGTTGTTCGATGCATTGAAGCTTGGGGAGATGAGTTGGGTGGGTTCTTGTGTTGAGAGATCTTTCGAGGTGAGTTGCTTTGAAGTATTGTTCATTGTGATTTGAGGAGGAGTAACGTGAAGTAGTCGAGTAATTGAGTTGGGCGAGGTGACGTTGAAGAGTGAAGTTTGCTGATGTTGATGAGTCGATGGTTTTGAGCTTGGTGAAGTGTTGAGGTGGGCGACGTAGAGCTGTTGGCGAATGTTTATTTTGAGTAGATGATCTTGAGAGATGGTTAGTTGATTTACTAGTGTTTTGACGGAAGCTTCCCACCTAGGATTTCTCCTAGGTGGGTGTCGTCAGAGTGTTAGTGAGTTTGTTGGGAGCGATGTAGATACGTTTGACGTAGTAGATGAGTTCGATTTGTTGAGCAAGGTAGTTGCGTTTGACGTAGTAGATGAGTTCGATTTGTTGGCGATAGACAGACCTCCCACCTAAGATTTCTCCTAGATGGGTGTCGTCAGGCTGAAAAATAAAAGATTGAAAAGTTAGCCACTCGTACATTTGAAGCCACCCAATACAAGTACTGGGTGACTCATCTCGAGAGCGTGTGCGTTCGAGGGATGTGTGGGAGCAACCCCACAGCGGTCGTTGGCGAGATTTGCGTGAGTTAGAGTAGTAGATTTGACCGCCTCTCGACCCCGGTAGCCAGCCCTAAAAAGGGCTGACCAACCAAATGGCTAAGATCCGTGTAGATCCATAACAGATACTACACTTTGATCTTAGCCAAAAGGCCGAGAAACCTCATTGGCTATGGTACCGCCACTGCGCAAAGCGGAACTACAGTGCCGCCAGACCCCGCAATGCGGGTGGGGGGGGGGGGGGGGGGGCACGCCATTTAGGGGCCCAAAGCCGACAATAATAAAAAAAATATATAATTATTAAGAAATTAATTTTCTTGCATTTTCAACTTGATGGTTGTTTTGTAAAAAGATCACTGTAACTGCGGTTGGATTATCTTTATTCTATAGACACCCCCTCACGCTCTTGTATATTCTTTTTCAATGTGTTTTTAAACCACTGTGAAGGCCGAGTCCTCTTTCTCCTACAATCAAACTTATCAAACCACTTCCATGACTTATTTCCTTTTTTAAATAGTCAAATAGGCGTGCTCATAAGCTCTTTTTTAAATAGATTTGTACTAAACAAATTAAAAAGCAATTACTTCTTTTAGTTATTATCTTTTAGTAAAATACTTACTAAAGAATGACATTGTTTAAAAATGAAATGTATTTAAAATTAATAATATAAATACAAAAAAAAAACATAAAAATAAACATAACACGAGACACCATTACTTATACAAAGCTTTCATGTTTTAAATTCTTTTGACCGCCTGTAAGTTAAACGGTCTTATAGCAGAGATAAAATAAAACTAAATTTTAATGATGTAACTAGCAGAAGCTGAGGAAGAAAGTTGAATTATCTCATTTTAATAGTAGTAATAGAACCTCTAAGGCTATATACATAAATTAAATTCAGGTGAAGCATTTGCTGTAGCAGGCTTAGCAAAATAAGGGATCATGTCTGGGTTTCTGGACATTTGTCACTGGCCAAGATGTGAATGTATTGAATTTGGAGAACGAAGAAACCTAGTTGTTTCAATCATTTCTGGGATCATGTTCTTTTCAGGCTGGTGGTTTTTTATTGATGCTGCAGTGCCCACAGAAAATAAGTTTAACTTTGCCTATCTTACTCCTGATATCATCTTAACACTGGCCTTTTTCATGATCAACTCAGTGTCAAATGGTCAGATAAGGGGTGAATCTTACACTACAGGCTGCTTGGGTCAAACAGGTGCTCGCGTATGGCTATTCATTGGATTCCTGTTGGCATTTGGAGCTTTGATTGCAGCTAGCTGGATCCTCATTGGTTTTTATGTTGTGGGAAATGTGAAACCAGATTGGCCTGGAATAGCAGTATTTCTGCAAAATGCACTCATTTTTTTTAGTGCATTTGTTTTCAAGTTTGGAAGAACTGAAGACTTATGGGGGTAGTGGTCAGGCTTGTGATAATTTTACATCAACTGTAAAATACTTTTTTCAAAGCTTTCTGAACAAACTGGACTTAACTATTTATGAATATCTTTGGTTTAGCTTCTAGCATACCTATATTAAAGAAAGCCTTGTATTCAATGACTTGTTGCTAAAATAATAGATTTGAATTACAAAGATTTATTGATGAAAAATGTTTACTGGCATCAGTATACTTCATTTATTATATTTCTGTTTATTTTAAATGTTTTTAACTTATTGTTAAATATCTGTGTATTTACTAAGAAATGTATTGAAAAACTGAGAAAAAGTATGAATGTTAGATAAACAGTGAGAAAAGGGTCTGAATGTGAAATAATGGTGGGAAAGAAAAGTTTTGATTATTTCACAAGCTTGAACTTGAAAAAAAGATCTGATATTAAATAAAATTAAACTTCTACTTTTTAAGACAATAAATATTGATTTCACACTTAAAAAAAAAAAAATAATGATGTTGACATCTGTTTTAATAATAATAATATATATATATATATATACATATATACATACACACATATATAGGCCTATATATTTATATGGGGGGGGGGGGCTAAAAATGTACTTTGCGGAGTGGCCCCTTTTTCTAGTTCCGCCACTGATCGACCCGCGCTTTTTATTTAACTTATCTTCATAATCTTTTCCCCTTCGTGCCCTATACACAAATGGCAGATGAAGTAAAGATCGTGTTTCAATCACCTCGACATACAGGGAGATAATGTGGTCAATACTAAGCCTATCAGCCTTAGTTACCCAAGGTGCGTCAGGTACCCATCAGAGCTGGGTGAACTCACGGAGCCCAACAGAACTGAGCCCGGAACTCGAGACATTCGCACTAGCATTAGAAAGCTTTGTGTTTAGTATTATAGCTTAAAAAGTGTACTCTTACTTTTGTAATTCAGCGCTTGTGAAAGCTCGTTAATATATAGGCATAGGTTATAAGACACGAGCCGACCCGCGGCGTATCATACGCCGCTATTTAGTTGTTTTATTTTCTACTTTTCAGTAATTCATAATTTGTGATTTCGACAGTAACAATGCTGCCACTGAAAATATTTGCATTAAAACACTAAAATCCTCCTTTCCCAAACCCCTACCCCCCCCCCCCACCCATGTGAAAGCAGCCTCCACTTAGTTACTTCCCATAAGTATAAAATAGTTTTAAACTAAATTGTCTGCCCCTAATAGCCGTCACTAAACCCGGCTCTACGATGTAAACATTTAGCGTGAACTACAGCTCACCAAACCATGTGGGTGTGGGGGAGGTTGCGATATGACTAGAGAGGAAGAGAGGGAACTGCTCGGCGAGCTTAAAGCTTGTTTTCTAACGTCTACCAGAAGAGAATTATATATATAGATGTTTTTTCCCTACTATTTAGTCTTATATGAAAAAATAAACAAAGCACCGTTATACAAATGACGCAATCCGTCACATTATCACATGATCCGGAGGTCGATTAAACCACACCCAGAAGGACAACTCCCCCACCCCAATAATCCAAACACCCCCACTCAACTTATTCCAGGGAAACCCAATCACACGTAGATTTATTTATATACACACAAACACTCAAATAACTTCCTTTGTCTACACTACAACACAATATACTCCCACACCTAATTCTCCCACACAAAATTGTCCCGCAATAAATTATCCCACTCTAAAGTCCCCCACAAAAAAATTTCCCACACTAAATTCTCCCACACTCAATTCTCCCACACTAAATTCCCCCAAGCTAAATACCCACAAACTAAATTCTCGCACACTAAATTCTCCCACACTAAATTTTACCACACTAAACTCTCCCACACTAAAAATCTCCCAAAGCTAAACTCGATACAAAAATTGTCTCTACCAAAATCTCCCAAACATTCAATTCCCCTCACTAGATTCCATCTATTCAGGAAACCAACTATTCCAGTAGAGTGATCGCTTGCATTATTGTGATGTATAGCATTTATTTTCTACTTTTTAGTTCAATCAGAAAACGTGGGTTTTTTAAACTTTTTTAATGATTATTATTTAATTTTTTTTTTTTTTTTTTTATATTAAGACGTTTTGTATTAGATCTATGTATAAGTATACCATCTTAAATGAATGAAAGTAGCTACAAGTAAGAGAGAAATATTACTATTGTAAATCTGTATCAGTCCTCACAAGCCGATGATGAAAACTGTAATACTAAAGCGAACACACACAACTGACGTCTGAGGCAAAAAAAAATCTACTCAACTGTGGCAGAGCTGACACCTGGTACTTCTCCTTACAAGCCCCTGACGTCACCACAATGGACAACACATGCAAAACACACGGTCCATATACATTGCAGTTCTAACTAATGAAAACGACAAAATCAAAGGGACACTTAGATGGGCATTCCCTACACTTGACAATGCTACACTCAAACATGCAAAACGCCTATTCAGTAACAAAGAGCCATCCATAAACTCAATCCCACACAATAATAATCGCAAAATTCTCCCACACTAAATTCTCCCACTCTAAATTCCCCCACACTAAATTCTCCCACACTAAATTCTCCCTCACTGAACTCTCCCACACTAAAAATCTCCCAAATCTAAACACGATACATAAATAGTCTCCACCAAAATCATCCAAACATTCAACTACCCCTTACTAGATTACATCACACATTTCCCCCCCCCCCCCCCCCACTCCGAGAATATTAGTGTTAGTCCCAAGAGTGCACAAAGGTGAAAAACAGTTCACATCGATTTGCTGTCGTCTTCTGTTTCTGTCAAAATATCTCCCGCGTAGAACTTTTTTGTCACGGGAAAAAACATTTTTTTTATAAAGGGAGACAATTATTAAATTAAACGATAAAGAGAAGAAAAAACACATTCATATATATTGATACAAAGTAAATGTAAACACACGTTAGTATTAATAATAAAAAAAATTATGTAACAAGAAAAGTGTTTGAAAATTTTGAAAAATTAATAAAAATTGTGAATTACAACACCTAGTGATTGTTAGCTGTTAATTCAAAAATTAGTAGTTACAAGTATCAACCAGCTACAATATTAATACAAAGAAGATTTTAACCCGATTACCATTATAAAGTTAACTGTTCGTGATATTATATTTGTGTATTTACTGCGTGTTCACTGAAGACTCGCATAATAATTACTATAATAGTTGCAAAAATAAATAAAATTTGACGTCACAGGCTCAAAAAAATCAGTCAAATGTAGTCGTTCGCATCGCTATGTTAACCGTTTAAAAACGATGGAATGCGATTTTGATTCCAATTATATATGCCCTCATTATTAGCAGCGGCAGGGGCGGAACTACAGTGCCGCCAGACCCCGCAATGCGGGGGGGCCCACGCCATTTAGGGGCCCAGAGCCGACAATAATAAAAAAAAAATTATAGTTAAAAAAAAATTTCTTTTATGTTTGACTTTTGGTTGTCTTGTAAAAAATTACCGTAGCTGCGGTTGGATTATCTTTATTCTATAGACACCACCCCACGCTCTTGTATATTCTCTTTCCCTTTGCTTTTAAACCACTGTGAAAGCCGAGTCTTTCTCCTACAATTTAACTGATCAAAGATAAGCAAATGTTCAAACCACTTCCATGACTTATTTCCCCTTTTTTTTTAAATAGTCGAATAGGGATGATCATGAGCTCCTTTTAATAGATTTATACTAAACAAATTAAAAACCATTTACTTCTCTTAATTATTATTTTTTTATAAGTAATTACTAAAGAATGACATTGTATAAAAAGGAAATGTATTAAATCAATAATATTTAAAAATTTAATAATATAAATACAAAAAAAAACATAAAAATAAACATAACACGAGACACCATTACTTATACAAAGCTTTAATGTTTTATATTATTTTTGACCGACAGATGGCCAAGATGGCTTCTATCAAAAATTAATTAAAACTGATTTTCACAAAACACACTATTGCACTAACTCACTTGACATGAAGTTGAAATTTTTTTAAGTTGATGTATCTCAAATCCCGAACAGGCCAGTATAATGAGTATCTTATGTTCGTATTTTCTGATTGTATATATACCATATCATATATAGGCCTATATATATATATATATATATATATATATATATATATATATATATATATATATATATATATATATATATATATATATATATATATATGCGGGGCCTAAAAAAATTTTTTTTGCGGGGTGGCCCTTTTTTTCTAGTTCCGCCACTGAGCAGCGGTTATTGGCCGCTACCGCCGTATAATTTTTATTTCAACTTTTTACTTGTTTTTGTTAATCTCATATTGAGTTTAATAGGTGAGCTTACAAAAATTTACTTAAAATAGTAAAACATTGAGACTAACTCTGTTTTTAGTGACATTATCTTCATTTTTTATTAAGCTTTCTAACTAGCATATTTATTTTAGGTTTATCCGTTTAGCAGACTATGCAAATAGTCTCACAAACTAGGTACCCTATTAGCGGTATCGATATCGCATTGTTATGTTCCTTCATTTTATAGGAATTATTACACCAATTTTTATACATTTCTTTCTCAAAGAATGTTAATAATTAAACTAGTAAATGAGTAGATTCAAAAATAACAAATTAACCATTTTAAAATAGTAAAAATTGTATGAGTTGTGCTAATATGTTGCGGTCTATACTACGTGCTACTACATTGAATTAGGTATACGATAACGCAACACAAAGTTGAAATTAAGTTATACATAGAATGATTTACAACTAAAAATAATGTCACCAAGGTTGATTTTAGTAAGACTGTATGATTTTTAGTGTAATTTTTTAAAAACGAAAATCATCTTTTTCGTAATGCATTATAGATCTAGTAGAGCAGGGGTCTCCAAACTACGGCCCGCGGGCAGGATGCGGCCATCGAAGTCCTCTCATCCGGCCCGCGGAGATCTTTTTGTCCAAGTAAAAATCGTTTGTTGGTGATGATGAGGAACTTTGCTCAAAAAAATCAAGACATGCCTGGAAGAAACTGGCCCCCGAACTGAAATTTGATAGTTAATGCGGCCCTCGGACTTAAAAGTTTGGAGACCCCTGTAGTAGAGGCTTAAATCTAAAAATCGAGAAAAGTGGTATCGCTAATATTTCGTCGCTATATCCGTTGGTATTTAGATCAATTAAAAAAAAAACACATTCAGACTTAATTTGAATTTAGTGTGAGTCTGTACATTTTTGATATTATTTTCACA